TGAGTTCTTTTCCTATTTGTATCCCTTAAATTTTTTTATTTTGATTAATTGTTCTGACTAGAGTTTCGAGGATTATGTTGAATAGAAGCGACAAAAGTGGGCATGCCTGTCTTGTTCCTGTTTTTAGAGGAACTGCTTTCAGTCATTCTCCATTCAGAATGATATTGGCCTTGAGTTTGTGGTAACTTTTACAATGTTAAAAAAAAAAAAAAACCTTAACACCAAAAAAAGAAAAAAATCTAATCAATAAATGAACAAAGGAACTGAACAAACGCTTCTCAAAAGAGAAAATACAAATGGTCGAAAAGTTTATAAATAAATGTACAACATCTCTAGCAATTAGAGAAATGCAAATTAAAACAACACTGAGATTTCATATCACTCTAGTCAGAATGGCAATTATCAAGAATACAAGTAACAATAAATGTTGGCAAGGATTCGAGGAATAAGGCACACTCACACTTTGTTGGTAGGACTGCAAAACTGGTTCAACCACTCTGGAAAGCCATATGGAGATTCCTCAAAAAAGTAGAAATGGAGCCATCATTTGATCCAGCCTTCCAACTTCTGGTATATTTCTAAAGGTTTAAAATCAGAATAGTACAGTGATGCAGCCACATCAATGTTTATAGCATCTCAATTCACAAAAACTAAGTTATGACGACAAACTAGGTGTCCTTCAACAGAGGAATGGATAAAGAAAATGTGGTGTATATACACAATGGACTATTACTCAGCCATAAAGAAGAATGACTCTATGACATTTGTCAGTAAATGGATCTGGAGATCATTATGGTAAGTGAAATAAACCAGTACCCCCAAAAAGCCAAAAATTGAATGTTTTCACTGATGTATGGAAACTAATCTACAATGTGGAGATGGGGGGGGGAATAGAAATTCAGTAGATTGGACAAAGGAGAAGAAAGGGAAGGGAAAAGGGATAGGAAAACCAAATACAGCAGAATGAATCTGACATAATTTTCCTAAGCACATATAGGAATGCACAGTGAGTCCCACCACCATCTACATCCGCAAGAAAGGGGTCCAAATTAGAATAAGATATATTCCATGCTTGTATAATTATATCAAAATAGACTATACTGTCATGTATAACTAAAAAGAACCAATTAAAAAAGAAAAGATGGTGCCCTTCCGTTAGCATTTTCATTCCTTGCTTTGTCACATATTTTTCCGCCCACATCACTACTTCTCCTCCCTGTGTGAGCATAGTGCCAGACGAGTGTCCTCGTGGGCACAGGTGACACCGTATCCCAGGAAGGTGCTAAGTGTCTCACTAGTTAGCAGCAGCTTCTGTCTCAGAACTCGGATCTTGCAGGGTCGACACACACACGGGTGGGAAGCGGAGGGGCTTCCAAGTTCAATGATTTGTTAACCATTTTTCACTTCTGTGCACAGGTGCCAGGAGTCTGAGGTTCTGAAAGGTAGAAAAGGAATGACCTTTGGCTAAGGAATCCATTTTAGTTAATTATTAAAAGCACTGTGACTGCCTGCATCCCCACCTTTGTGACCTAGATTCCAGTAATGAGAAGTCCCAGGATCCTTTGAAAGCCTTCATGTCAGGGAAGGGCCGGGGTAAAGATGACGATGGCCGACAGCTCAGTGCACTAAGCAAGCCAAGGTTGGAGGACCTTGTGTTCTTCCTGAAAGCTTAGCTCTGCTTGTCCTTAGCACTGTCACTGCCAGGTTTTCATTAGCCATGGGAAGGTGTCCCTGACTGTGGCCTTGACAGGCATGCTTGCTTCTTCATCCTGCTTAGAACAGTCCTTCCTCATCTTCCCTCCCTCCATCAGGACCTAAGCATTGCTGAGTGCAGAGGTGGGTATGAAGATACGCACACAACGCAGTCTGATCTCCAGAAGCTTGCAATTTCTCTGCATGGTCACAGTTCACTCTAAATTCTCCTTTGAAGTTTCTGCTGTGATCTCTATTCTTCCTCACAGTCTTTATAGACATGCAGGAACCCAAAGAGGTGTTGTTTTTTTTTTTTTTTTTTTTTTCTTTTCAAAGGGCTAGAGCATCTGAGTCAGAGTCTTTATTTTTTCCCCCTTGCCTGACTCATCCTAGTACCAATGGCTATGACTGACTCATCCATGTGTAAAGGGTGATGCTGAGGTCTTAGAGTACACTGGATGCTCAGGGTGGAAATGGAAATTGGTCTCTTTTTCCCACATCACTGGTGCTGGGTGAGGCTAAAATGACTCTCTTCTCACTATGCTGCGTGCACCCTTTGACTCGTTTTTTTTGTTTGTTTGTTTGCATATTGCCTATCTCACCTCTCTGTATCATCCACCAGGCTTTCCCTGTCTCTTCCATATTTGGGGCCAAACTTATTCTGCAACCTCACTTTCAGCAAACCTCCAACTGTATAGAAATCTAAGGGGTCTTGTCACTCAGAACCCAAAACCCCACACCTTAACCCTCCTTTTCTTGGCTGAGCCTTCTCTGGAAAAAATATGTCCCTACTGCTGCCCCACACCTGGAGCTAAGGATAAACAACACCACAAATAATTTCTGCTTCATGGGGTGCATTATGTGGAGGCTGTGGAAACTGCTGATATTTCATTTAAAAAGCTGTGGAGTGAATATCATGTTAGTGGGGAGAAATGCACTCAGTAAGCTGATGCTTCTGGAAATATTATTCTCTATAATCTTAACTTTAATAGCTTAAATTTAATCAAGTTCTCTTCGGTTGTCAAGTTTAAGATCTTACTATTAATAAACCAACAAAAGTTTCTTGGTGCCTAGCACCAATTTGCATATGGTTAGCGTTCAAAAAATGTCTTAATAGATATTTCCTGAGTGCAACTATGTTTTGATTCTTTTTCAACAAAAACTTTTGACATCTAAAAATAAAATACATCATTATTGGTATAGTTGTGTGACCAAAACCACAATGGTTCTTCCTCTTTTCATGACATCTGAGTTCCTTCCAGTCACAAAAATCTATGATCTTGGTGAAAATTTTCAGAGTAACTGTAGTAGATTCTTGGGAACATTTTTTTTTAATTTCTCAAAATACACAGTAAGAAAGCAAGCAATCCAATTAAAATATGCAAAACTATATCCATACTAAGGATTCTTACCCAGTGATAGAAAGGAGCACACTGTTGATATGTGCAATCACTTAGACAGTTCTACTTATAAGGGGTTTATTCTTCATTATCTGCCTTTTTAAGATGGAAAGATAGATCATTGATTTTTACCTCATTTCTCTAGTCTTCTATAAAAATTTAATGTTATGGGTTATCCCCGAGCTCTGCTTTAGCAGCATCACACAAATCCTGATGTGTTTTGTTTTCATTTTTATTCAATTCAAAATATGTTCCAATTTTCCTTCTGATTTCTTCTTTGACCCATGGGTTATTTAGAAGTATGGTGTTTAATTTTCAAACATTCAGGTATTTTCTACATGCCTTTCTGTTGTTCATTTCTAATTAAATTCTGTGATAGCAATAACAGATACTCTGTGCCGTTTTAATCCTTTTAGATGTATACAGGACTTGTTTTAAATTCTAGAAAATAGTCTGTTTTGGTGAATGCCCCATGAATACCTGAAAAGAATTATGTTCTTCCATTTTAAAATAGTGTTTTTTTTAAAATAAGCTTTTGAAATTATGATAAGTTAGTTGGAACTGTAGCTTCCTTTTATTCATTAATATTTACCTTTTTTCAATATTTCTTCCATAGTTCCTTTTTTTCTCTATTTGTATTGATTGTCTATACAATCAATACAAATAGATTGATTTGTATTGATTGTATAGACAATCAATACAAATCAACCTACATCAAATATAGAAAGAAGAGTTGAAATATTAAATCTAGCACAATATAATTGTGGGCTTGTCTCTTTTTTCTTTTAGTTCTATCAATTGGTCTCATTCATTTTGAAACTCTGAAATTAGGTGTGCAGATATTGAAGATGTGATAGCTTCTTGATGAATTGAGTCTCTCATCACTTTGACTTGTTTAAGCTTTTCATAATTGTTTATCTTTTTTTAAAAAAGTTAATGTATAGTCAAAATAATCCTGAGAAAAGACAAAGTTGACAGACTAACATTTTTCAATTTTTACAAAATAATCAAGAATGTGTACTATGGAGACTGTGTACTATAAGTATAAAGTCTCCAGATCCACAGTAGATTAAGCAAAGGAGAATGGAAGGAAGGGAGGGGGGATAGGAAAGATAGCAGAAAGAAACTAACATAATTTCCCTATGTACATATATGAAAATACCTAAGTAGATTCCACCATCATGTACACTGACAAGAATGGGGTCCTGATTACAATAAGATATATTCCATGCTTGTATAATTATACCATAATATATTCTACTGGCATGAATAACTAAAAAGAACCAATAAAAAATAAGAAAAAAATAGACATGTAGATCAATGCAATAGAATTGAGAGTACGCAAATAAACCCATACACTGTTTTTGTCTTTTTTATTTGTTCTTTGTAGATATACATGACATTAGAGTGCCTTTTGACATATTATGCATACATGGAGTATAACTTATTCTTGTGATTGTATACCACACACCTTTGACAACTGATTTCAACAGAAGTGACTAGACAACTCAATTAGGGAAGGTTAGTCTATTTAATATTTGGAATTTGGGGCAACTGGATATCCACATGCAGAAGAATAAAGTTCCCCTCCCTTCGTACCATAAACAAAAAAATAAATGAAAATAGATCAAAACCTTAAACATAGGAGCTAAAACAAAAATTCTTAGAGAAAACTTAGATGTAAAGCTCTGTGATCTTGGATTAGACAAAGATTTCTTAGATAATGACATCTAACACTCAAGCAAAGAAAAATAAATAAATAAGACAATATCAAGAAAGTGAAAGGGTACATGGGGACAGGAATGATGATGGAATGAGGTGAACATCATTACCCTAGGTACATGTATGACTGATTACACATATGGTGTGATGCTACATCATGTACAACCATAGAATCTAGCCTGCGACACGCGCTGGCTTCATGAAAGAAGGTAGCTCCCGCCTCCAGCCACCTAATGCGGTAGAGAGGTTTACTGAAGAGGAGAGAGAGAGAGAGAGAGAGAGAGAGAGAGAGAGAGAGAGAGAGAGAGAGAGAGACACCAGGGAGTGGACTTTTATTGGGGAACAAAAAATTCTGGGGAAAATCCCATCCAATGAAGATTAAGGAGGGCAGCATCCCAAGGTCAGGGGCGATGATTGGGTCTTGGGGCAGTGGTCAGACATGCCTCTGCACGGACAAGCCCTCGGACCTGGAGAAGGGTGGGGAAGGCTCTGACACAGCTGTGTCTAAGCGCCTCTCACCCAGCCAGGGAGGTAACTCAAATCACATACAAGGATGGCCTCCCACAATAGAAATGTAAAGTTGTGCTGCAAATGTGCACAATGAATCAAGATGCATTCTGCTGTCATATATACATAGTTTAAATAAATTAATTTTTAAAAAGAAAGTGAAAAGACATCTATCTACACAATAGGGAAATATATATATATATATATATATATATATATATATATATTTATAATCTTACTACTCAACAATAATATGACTAATAACCCAATGTAAGTTTCTTTAAAATATCATTTTCATATTAAAATACCTTGGCCCTATTGCTGAAAAACAGTTTACTACATATACATGGATTACTTCTATATTCTTCAGTTTATTAAACTGATTTATATGTGTGTTATTATTTTATAGCCTCACTGACTAGATTAAGTAGTTTTACACCAACGTTAGTATCCTACTTTTTTCCTTTAAAATGTTTTTTTGGTTGCTCCAGGTATTTTACATTTCTATATACATTCCAAATTGGTTTTTCAATTCCTATTTTTAAAAGACTGTTGGCATTTTGATTGAGATTGTTTGAATTTATACACTAACTTAGGGAAAATTGATATCCTACTAATAATCTTCTAATCCATGTGCATAATATTTATATCCAGTTATTCCTGTCTAATTTCTCTCAGCAACATTTCATAGTTTTCTGTGTAGAGGTCTTCATATATTTGTGAAAGTTCACACTCTCTGTTTTTAATGAAATTTAATGTTATGTTACATAGTTTTCAGATTGTTGCTCATATTTAGAAATACAATTGATTTGTATATATTGATCTTTTACTCTAAAAACTTACTAAATTTATTTACTAATCCTAGAATATTATCCATCAATTTTTTTATATACACAACCAAATCTTATGTAAGTAAATAAAATTTATACTTATTATTTTACAATCTTAACCTCTTTAATTTCTGTTTCTTGTCTCATTGCCCTGGTTTGGAACAGTATGGCAATATTGAATGACAAAAGAAGGCACACTTATTTTTCTCCTGTTCTAAGAGAACAAACATTTTCTTTGACTATTAATTATAACAGCTGGCAGTTGAGAAAATTATCTTCAACTAGTATATATCCATGAGTCTTTCATGAATGAGAACTAAATTTTGCCCATTTTTTAATCAATTTTGAGTTAATCACATATGGTGAACTCATTAATTGATTTTCAAACGTTAAACCAATTTTTTTTTAACTTGGAAAAACCTTACTGGTTCATGGCATATGATCTTTTTAAGGTATTGTTGGCTTTTATTACCAGCATGTTGTAAAGGACTTTTGCAACTATGTTTCAAATATTTTCTTAAATCTTTGTTAGAATTTTCCAGTGATGTAATTGAGAGCTGGTGCATTTCTTGTGAGAAATTTTACTTTAATTTAATTTAAACTGCGTGGCTATTCCAACTTTCCATTTCTTCTTGAGTTAAATTTGATCACCTGTGACTTTAAAAGAATTTTTCCACTTTATGTAAGTAGTTTAATTTATTGGCACAAGTTTCTTATCATATTTCTTTCTTAATCTTTTTATATATACAGGATCTATATAGTAAATGGATCTATATAGTAAAATCCCTCTTTAATTGTTTCTTCCTTTTTTCTCTCAGTTCATCTATCTAAAATATTATCAAATGTATTTATTTTTAAAAATTCAATTTCATTGACATTTTGTTCGTTTTTTATTCACTGATTTTCTTCTATCCAATTTGAATTTGATTTTCTGTTTTTAGCCTCTTAACCCAGTAAGTCTCAAGTTTTCAATCTGCAAATATTTCAACTAAATTGACAGAAAAGTGCATTAAAATAGATTGGAAATCATAATGAAAAGCTTATATAGACTATATATTAATTACCAATATATTAACTATGTTTATTATACTCAATTATTATGATTGTTTTATTATTAAATATAATTATATATCATATTTTATATTTAAGTTTTTGTAAATGTTCCACAACTGAGATAAGGGGACAAAATAAATTTTTAGGTAATATGGATTTTTCTTCTATACCAATATTAACGTTCAAAGCTATAAAATTTTCTCTAAGGACTAATTTAAGTGGATTCATCACTGGTGTATAGGAATGCAATCAATTTATCGGTGTTTATTTTATATCCTTCAACTTTGCTGAATTCATTTATTAGTTCAAGAAGTTTTCTGGTGGAATTTTTTGGATCTTCTACATATAGAATCATATCATTGGCAGTTAGTGATAGTTTGAGTTCTTCTCTACCTATTTGTATCCCTTTAATTTCTTTATTCTAATTGCTCTGGCTAGAGTTTCAAGGATGATGCTGAATAAAAGTGGTGAAAGAGAGCATTCTTGTCTTGTTCCAGTTTTTAGAGGGAATGCTTTCAATTTTTCTCTCTTTAGAATGATACTGGCCTTGGGTTTAGCATATAACATTTACGATGTTGAAATATGTTCCTACTGTCCTTAATGGCAATCATCAAGGGTAGTAGCTCAGTGGTACAGTGCTTGCCTAGTACGTGTGAGACCCTGGGTTCAATCCTCATCACCACAGAAAAATAAATAAATAAAATAAAAGGTATTGTGTCCATCTACAACAAGAACAACAACAACAAGAATACAGGCAAATGCAGGCGAGGATGTGGGGGGAAATGTACACTCATACATTGCTGGTGGGAATGCAAATTGGTGCAACCACTATGGAAAGTGATATGGAGATTCCTCAAAAAACTTGGAATGGAACCACCATTTGACCCAGCTATCTCACTCCTTGGTTTATATCCAAAGGACTTAAAATCAACATATTACTGTGATATGGCCACATCACTGTTTATAGCAACTCACAATAACTAAACTATGGAACCAATCTAGGTGCCCTTCAATAGATGAATGAATAAAGAAAATGTAGTATATATATTCGATGGAATATTACTCAGCTTTAATGAAAAATGAAATTATGGCATTTGCCAGTAAATGGATGGAGTTGGAGAATATCATGCTAAGCTAAATAAGCCAATCTCAAAAAACCAAAGGCAAAATATTTTCTTCAATATGCAGATGCTAATTCACAATAAGCAGGGGGTGGGGAGACAGGGAATGACAGAGTTGCTTTAGATTAGATACAGGAGAGTGAAGGGAGGGGAGGGGATATGGGGATAGGAAGAATAGTAGATTGAAACAGACATTATTACCTTATGTTCATATATGACTGCATGACTGGTGTGATTCTCCAACATGTACCATCAGAAAAATGAGAAATCTTACCCCATTTATGTATTATATATCAAAGTGCATAAATGCATTCTACTGTCATGTATAACTAACTAAAACAAATAAAAAATTAATTTTAAAAAAGAACTGCTTTAATTCTGTCACACAGTTTTGATATCTTGTGTTTTCATTTTCATTCAGTTCGAAATATGTTCCAATTATCATTGTGATTTCTTCTTGGAGCTATGGGATATGTAAGAGTGTTGTTTAATATCTAAGTATTTGTGGATTTTCCATGTATATTCTGTTGTTGATTTCTAATTTGATTCTATTTCATTATTTAGAAAATATTTTGGATCACTTTAACCATTTTAAACTTATTGATGTTTGTTTTAAAGTCCAGAAAATGGTCTTTCTTGGTGAATGTTTCATGATCACGTAAAAAGAACATGTATTATATTGTTAAATAAAATGTTCTATAAATGATTTGAAAAAATTTCACATTTTTATAATATTTTCTGTCTACTTGTTGCATAGATTATGTAGAGAGAACTGTCGAAATCTCCAATTATAATTATGGATTTGTGTCTTCTTTCAACTTTGTCAGTTTTTGTATCGTGTTTGAAACTGTTATTTGGTATGTGCAAACTTAGAATACCACATCTTCTTGACAGCTTGAGTGCCCTTTTTATCATTATGAAATGCCTCTCTTATGTTTGGTAAGATTTCTTTAATGAGGCCTAATAGATATGATATTAATATAGTCAGTATAGTATTCTTATTTGTACTATTTGCACAGTATGCAATGCTCCATCCTTTTACTCTGATATTTTCCTTTGCATTTGAAGTATGCTTCATGTAGAAGGAAATAATTGTCTTGCTTTTGTTCTGTCTGATGATCTCTCCATTTTGATTGAAGGGTTCACAGAATTGAGATTTAATGTAATTATTAGTATGGTGAGGCTCAATCTATCATTTTGCTATTTGTTCTATTTGATCCACTTCTTTGTTGTTCCATCTTCTCACCTATCTGCCTCATTTGAATTGTGTGTGTTTTATGATTCTATCTGACCAACAGTATTGGATTAGTAGCGATACCTATTTGTTCAATGTTAAGTGGTTGCTCAGGAGTTTATACTGTTCATCCTTAACTTGTCATCAGAAAACATGATGCCACCTCATATGCAAGGTAAGATTATATAAGGTACTTTCATTCCCTTCTTTTATTTATGTGCTAATCTTTCCTTACATTTTATTTCATTATGGTTGAGACTATACCATGTATCTTTTAAAATGGATTTTTTAAAGTATGCCTTATGCTCACTCATAAATTATTAATTTTTTACTTTCTTCATCCCTGTCTATATATCTATCTGCATTTCTATTTGGTGACACTTCTCTTCCATTTGAAGAACTTTTAGTACTTATTTTGGTACAGGTCTGTTAGCAATAAGTTCCCT